GCTGCATTGCGCGAGTACGCTTCTAGTATATATATATATATATATATATATATATATATATATATATATATCTCATGTTTTAATAAATAAAACATCGAAATTTTAGAAGTTGGTTACCTACATTCTTTTAACGTAAAAGAAACAACATGTAACCGGTTAAGAAGGATTTAAAGTAAAAAAAATTAATCAGTTTTACCATTTACAAACCCAACGTCATACGAGCCCCTCGCACCCAATGCCAAATGCTCTACCTCGCCACCCCATTGTCGTCCATTTTTTATCAACGCCCATCATGGTGTTGGCCCCTGCTATTAGGGTTGCTCAAAAACCCAACCAACCCAACCCGAAACAACTCGATGTCTAATCGAGTTGTAAAATTTTTAAACCGTAGGTATTGAGTTGATATTGGGTTACTGTTATTTGAACCCAACCCGATGAACTCGATATTCTTTTATTTCTTGGATTTAATATGATTATTGAATTTCTATTAATATATACATTACACAATTACGTTATCATGCATGTTTTTCATATACACATATTTTCAATCTATTTGCATCTTTATATAACTCATTCGTATATATATTCAGTAACTGTGAACATATATATGTAAATTGAGAAAATTAACTGAATATGATATATACGTAAGAAATATGGATAAGTTGTATCAAATGGTTAATGATGAAAAATAAATTATGAGTACAGAAATAACATATTCAAGGTTAGAAGAATATTTTAATGTACCAAAGTATCAACCCGACCAACCCGTACGGGTTGGGTTGGGTTGCACTTTGGTTTGGGTTTGGTTGGGTTAAAATTTTTTCAAAACGCAAGCATTGGGTTAAGTTGTTCAAATGTCTTCAACCCGATCAACTCAACCCATGAGCACAGGACCTGCCATCTATCTCCCTTCTTTTTATTGATTTTTTTTTCTTTCAATTTTTCTTTTTTTTTTATATGTCTATACACTTTGCGAGGGGTTTGAATGGCTCAAAGTTAGGAATTTATAAAAATGATTTATGTTTTTTTATTTTAAAATATTCGTAACCGGTTACAAGTTAATTTTTTAGATTAGTAATAATTTTTTAAAAATTCGATGTTTTATAAACAATATTATGAAATTAATCATTTAAAATGAAAAAAATCAATGATTTTTTCATAAAAAAATTTAAAAACTTAATCAAAATAAGAAAATTCTTTGGATTCTTCTAGAAAATATTCAAATTTACTGCCAGGTACACCTAAATGAAACATGTGGTTTCTCAATTAGTTTTGATTATCATGAATTAAGTTCTTAATTAGTTTTGATTATTATTTTTTAATTTAAATAATCAATTCAAAAATTAAATTATATATCAACATCTTTGTTTTGATTATTTTGGGTGGTAAAACTTAACAATACATCATTTATGGTGATGACATGTCATGATTTTATAATAGCTCTTTGCCTGAATCAAAATAAGAATAAAAATATCTTTTTAAGTTAATTCATGGGTTATTTTGAGACTTAATCTGAACCATTAGATTAACAATAATGAAAAGTGATCAAGGGTCGAAATCATGATCCTTTATCATGAGTCTATTAAATTATATAAAACCAAACTCTTACTTTTATTTTCAATATAATTAAATATTGTTAATACCTCTGATCTAATTGTAACATCATAGGCCGACCATACCAAATATTGTCCGTTTTGTCCACACACCTGGACTTACGGCTTTAAAAAGTGTCTAATAGAGAAGGTATCATGTTTCTTATAAGGCAACATTCGATACCTTCCCCAACTAATGTGGGATATTATAATCCACCCCCTTTGGGATCCCAGTGTCCTCGCTGGCACACTAGTCTAGTCATGGCTTTAATACCATATGTGACATCTCAGGCCAATTGCACCAGATACTGTCCGTTTTATCCACACATCTTGACTCACAGTTTTAAAACATATTTAATAGAGAAGGTATCATGTTCTTTATAAGGTAACCTTCATTCTCATCCCCAACAAATGTAGGATCTTGGGGAGAGGAACGAAAGTTACCTTTTAAGGAGTTCAATACACTCTTTACAAGACGCGTTTTAAAACCATGAATTCAAGTGCATAAACAAAACAAACAATATCTGATACGGTTCGTCTGAATGTTACCCAAACACCCCCTAACATAAACACTATAATTAATTGGAATACAAGATTATTCAAAAATCAAAATAAATAATAATTATGACATAAATAAAAGGTGAGGGGGTTAGGGTTTTTGGGTCCCAACACAAAGACAAAGGGTTTGGGTGTGGAATCAACAAGCCAGTCGAGCATTTCAAATTCAAAATTTATTAAAACAAAGTGTCGGTCACCCTTTACTTTGTCCCCCTCATTTCTTATTACAACCATTTTTTTTATTATTATTTTAATACATAACTTAAATATCAAAAATAAAGATAAGCATTCGAAAAAATTAGCCACACACTTCATATTAAATAAACGTTTTTTATTAGACATTGATTGTCATAGTAACAATGCTTATTACCAGTACCATACCAGAATAAGTCAATAAGTTGTTTTTATAAGCAATCCCAAACACCCCCAAAGATTGGTATTAACTTAAGTAAAATAAAATACAAAAAGGGTTGCACCCCCTTGTGGGGTTCTGGGGACGGTGCCTCTGGCGGTGGTCCTGAAAATAAAAATGAAATTTAACACTGAGGATGTGTAGTGTCAGGTGGTTAACAATGGGTATTATCAGTGTCTAAAAACATTGATAGATGTTGCATAAGATCGTTAGCAGGTGAAACTACCCACTGATGTGTTATCAACGGATAGTTGATCAACTGATGGTTTCCCACCGACGTGGGCTATCAATTGATAGTTTTCCACTAATAAATATCTATCAGTTCGCTAGCTATTCTTTCGTAACCATCCACTTAATTTTTAATAGACACTTCCATTTAATGAGGAGTTATTGGGTTCAAGATGCTTACCAACAATCCATTTTGAAGGCCGAAAATGTTACATGATAAGGTAAGAGAAGGTGATGTCTCTTGCAAATAAACGCTTACCCGATAAACATTTTGGTAAACAGTATCTTATATTTTAATGGACGTACGAAAATAGAAAACAAAGTACGTGGTGATTTATTTTCTTGTTGGAAGCAAGGGCACGAGTATGTAGAGGAGAGGGTGGACAAAGAATTAATGAAGGCATTTATCTAACCCATTATTTTATGATTTTATTATTATTATTTAAATCATTTTTATTATTATTATAAATTATTATCTGAAAGTTTGAATATAAATGAATTGCCAACTGTTATTGGTCGAAAATGCAAAGCTCAATAACCCATAAAATAAAAATAATAATTAAAATGAGAAAATTAAAAGCCATAATTGTCCAGATATATAAATTAATTAATTGAGTTGGTTCTGCCGCCTGCGACTCATCGGATGACAGAAGGATTGACAATGAGCGACTGGTTGACTTCATCTTTTACTCAACAACAACTGCACCACCTATCGATTTTTATTATAAATAATTAAATATTAAAATGTAAAAAGTTAGTGCTTATCGGGTAAGAGATGCTTTAAACGATGGTGTTTTCGACAATCTTACTACGTCATTTTGATGACTAAAACCTTACCCTATAAGATAAGCAAGGTGATCACTTTTACTGATCATAGTTTACGCGGTTTGTGTTGATAAAAACGGCTATCGAGATGTTCCTAACAAGTCTGACAATTGAGACGATGTTTATATATAAAAGTTAATACTCGATGTGGTGTAAAACATGCATCTTTACTGCAACTAAAGCCGTATGGATTGTTTACCAAATGCTTACCTGATTAGTGGTTACCAACAAAAGTCCCACCCTTGCTTATCTTGTTGGATACCATTCTCAACTATCAAAATGAACTGTTTGTAAGCGTCTCTCATCCGGTAAGAGCTAACTGGGTAAAAATCTTAACACTCTCACTTAACGAGTAAAATTCTCGGTTGTTGCCATGCCTCTTACCGTCCGGCCTTCTGGGTCCTTTGCCATGCTTACCCGATTTGTGTTGGTAAATGGACCCTTAGTTTTATTTCAATATGCAACTTCTGCTTCATGAAGTTTAATTTCTCTTGATTTGAACAGCCTTGTCTTCTTGATAAGATTTCAATCTCAGCTTCTGTTCAGAAAAGGATAAAACAGATGAGGACACAAGAAAACCAACAACAATACCCATGAAAGTGAAGGTAGTTGAGTGAATCACCATGGCTTCATTAAAACCGGATGCGTACTTCATTTTCTTTACACAATCTTTCAAAATCCATTTCGGAGAGAGTCCTGTGTACAAAGTGTTACTACCTTCATCACAAATTTCACCATGTTCTATTAACCGAGAGCAGGCATTCAAAGAGCCTGAGGGTTCAAAACAGATGACAAGTTTCCGTATTAGTTACTGTTCTAATTTATATTCTGATAACCCCAAAAGACAACACAAATATTTGCTTCAAAGTTAATGCCAATGGTAATCGATCATATCATGTTGAAACTAAAAGGATGACCAAACTGCAATATAGAACATGGTCCAAGATACAGGATGGAATGACTAAACTCATAAACAGATTCATAATTCAGACGACAGAGATAAGACACTTCCAAATTATGCTACGGAAATGACTTGGTGGCGATGAACGGTGAACATCCTCTCTTTTTTTTTTTTTTTGAAGAATATGCCTACCCGCAAGATCTTTAAGGCTCTCGTTCTTTTGGTATTGGTATTCTTTCATTTTCACAGCATTCTCCTTATCTAATTCATCCCATTTATATGATCTGATTACATGTTTGTTTGCAGATAAAATGTGAGTTAATGATTCCCCTTTTATGATTATCCTACAATTTCTCTCTTTTATCCACCCAAATAGTGCCTTAAAATCTTGATTTCTTCAAGAAATCACCTTTCACCAGTTCTACTTCTCTTCACAACTAACAATTCAAGGAAGCACAAAAAAAGGATCATGGCTACAAAGACATTGAAAAGACCCCATTTTATCCACACAATCAAAAACCATATTCTGATATACACTACTGATAACAGTAATCAACATAAAAGCAACAATGATAATCAGATCAAGACACAAATATTGCATATTCAAATCATTATCCTGGGGGAATTGATAACAAACACCACTAATTGAATGATGTTGGCTGCTAATCTTTCTGTAAACCCTTATAGACTCTGTTTTCTAGAGTTGTAGATTAGCCACTAGAATCCAAAATGTAGCTCCTTTGTAGCAGAGGGAGTATCAAAACCACAATTTGCATAGAAATTAGATAATGAGCATTGCTAACCTGTAATTGTGGGCTTTTCTGGGCGCAACGATTAGAAGAATTAGGGTTTACAAAAAGGTAAATACAACCACGAGAGTTATTTTAAATTTTCATGAAGCGTGATGATACATTTACAGAAGCAAATACAACAAGGTAGAACGGAAGATGAGAAGAGTAGGGAAGACATACGAGAATCAGATGTTCTGTTTGACGTTCGCTGCTCTTATCAACTAACAATTAGGGTTTCATATTTTTCCTGTTGATTTGGGGAAAATGCCCAAAAACTGATAAGAAGATGAGAGGGCTTTCAGTTGGTTTTTGCCTAATTGGGAATTTGGATGCATCTTGTCCTCCCAAAATCCCATGAAAATTCATGAATCCATCACAAAACCAGTTTATTTCGATCTCCAATAACAACAACATTTATGCTTAAACAAAAATTTAAAAGAAACCTAGCTTCTATGAACTTGTTTTCTTAAACATCATCCTTTGAAAGTTGAAACGGAGATTTTGTAAATATTTTTTTTAATTAACATGGATATCGAACCCGTTATGCGAGCTGATTAATCTAGAATAACCACCTGTTTTACAGATAGCTGGAGTCACCGCATTTGAACCTCCGTGGTCACAAGGGAATTTTTATTCATTCTTGGATTTAAACCTGAGACCTTCTGGTACTTTTGATCTTTGGAGACAAACTCAAACCAATCTGACATCATCCTTGTGGTTATAAATATTTGTTTCAACAAATTCTTCAATATCTTATGTGAAATGGAGAAAATAAAAGAAAGAGGGTGGAATTCTCTAAAATTAGAGATTTCTTCAAAGATTTATTTGAATTGAAATTGAGATACTGATACAAGTTATTTCCTTCTGAATCAGATAGATTCATATCTGAAAGAGGTTGACAATAAGTTCTTTCAAAGTTGACTATTTATCCCTCTGTTAGAGGTGTTCCAGAAATGTCTGCGATCGAGTAAATAACTCTACGAACGAATGGATGAGCGAGAGAGAAATGACTTTTTATTTGTTCTACCAATGACATTGCTTGAATTTAAATGTTTAATAGAGATAAATAATAATATCTTATGAATTAAGTGTTTTAATAATATAATTAATTGTGTAATGTTTAAAATAGAGAATTTGTTAGAGATGAACATAATTTCTTTTTCTGTTTTTGTGTGGAGATTTTTGATTTCTCTATTTTGGAGAATCTATTGTAGATGCATTTAAAAGATCTTTAAAATATCTCCAACAGTTTTCCTAAAATTTCTTCAAAATAGAGAATCAAAAATCAAAATATTCAAAAAAAAAATTCATCTTGGATTTCTCATTTTGGAGAAGGAAAAAGTCCATCACAGTTTATTTATTTTGATTGATTAAGTTCCTTCACATTTTATTAATAAATAAACCATCACAGTTTTAAGAATTGGTTACCTGTATCATTTTAATTCAAAAAAAGTTACATTAACGGACTGATAAAAGTCCGATAGTTTATTTATTTTTAGAACAAAATTCAGAGTCTCAATCATTCAAAATGTAAAGTTTAATGGTTTTTTCATTATATAAATATTTCAGAGACTTAATCGTGCAAAATTAAAAAGTTTATTGGTTTTTCATTCAAAAAAAAAAGTTAATTACTAAACCATTCAAAATAAGAAAGTTTATTGGTTTTTCTTGGACTTTTCCTTCTATTTATTAAAAAAAATGTTCAGAAACTTAATGGATAAAAAAAATAATGGTTTTTTTATTAAAAATAAATAAAAAGTTTAATGTTTTTTCCATTAAAAAAATAATTTAGATACTTAAGCATTTAAAAATTAGAAAATTTAACGATTTATTTGTTCTAAGAAATAGTTTAGGGACTAAACCTTAAAATGGAAAATTTGTTGGGATTTTTGAATTTTCCCTTTTTGAAGAATCCAATATTAATAATAATATTAAAATATTTCATTAATCTATTAAAATAATAATAATTTTTTAAATTATTTACTCTCAAAGTAGTTTCACTTCGTAATCATTTTTGGGGTGTTCTCTGTATTTGGAAAAAAAAACTTTTCTCTCACACTTTCTCCATTTTAAATATAGTTTCGAAAAAGCTGTTGGAGCACAATATTAACTCGAAAATTCCATTTTCTCCATTTTGGAGAAGCGGTTATAGATGCTCCCAAAATAGGTATGTGTGTGTGTGTGTATATATATATTAAATTTAAATATTTTTGCATTTATCTCTTTTTCGTTTTTCAAATTTCCTAAAAAATAACATAGTTGTAAAAAATGTTCTTAATAATCACCAAAAATTCACAACTACAAAACAGATTTAGTTCAACCATCACAACAAAATATCTAATGAGAATTTTAATTTATAGAAAGACAATTGTGTATTTTATACAAAAACATTATAACAAACTGTTAAAATGAAGGTTGATAAACTAACGACTTATAATCTAATAAAAATATTAAATACCAGTAACTTATTCAACATATTGTCTTGATAGACTACCTCGATTGTGCCACCTGCCAAATGTTAGGCAAATCCACCTTGCTCGGTCGTGCACATTGCACATGGTCTAACTTAGGCTTTCATGTCTTACTGTTTTTTTATACAAAACCCTAAAAACTTGATTTGTACATTAAATTTTCTTTAAACAAGTTATGATTTTTGAACAAAAACATCATAGGATTGCATTTTTCATCTCAACCAATCCAATTAATATAAACCAATCCAATTAATATAAACCCTTAGTTGGACGGTCTAATTAATAAGTCTATATATTATTTTACAATAAACTCAGTATAAAATATTATTGAAGAAATACCAGTTGTTATATCAAATATCAGACAAGATTCTTGATTTGAATTTGTTCTAAAACTTGGAGTCAAACTTCTCATAAATAGCTTTAATATCTAAAATTCATGACCTTTTAACTTATTATGATTACAATAACTTTTCATTATGTAATGGATCTTTAATTTTTCACTTTAATGGTGGAATGTTTCTATTTATAGACCATGGGAGACAAACATTTCTTACAACTCCATCATTACGATCTTTTAAAAGAAGCTATATTTTTATGTTAATTGAGGGTAAATTACATGAAAAAGTAACGTACTTTAACTTGATTTATATTTTGGATAAATTACTCTCAAAACTTCTATTTCAGTATCTAAGATGTAAAATTTTAAACATTTAAGTATTCGGATAACCGGTTACCATGCTGATGCGTTGGGGAGTAATTAGATGAAATTGGGTGAATAGCAAATAGTATTGAGTTGGATATCACATCACTCGTCACATCAGCATGGTAACCGGTTAATGCTTCAACTCTGTTACCCGTGTACTTAAATATATAGAACTTTAGATATTAGGTACCACAATGGAAGTTTTGAAAGTACGTTACTAAAATATGAATCAAGTTAAAATTACATTGGTTTTTGATACAATTGCCCTCAATTAGTTATAGTTTTCCACTTCTTTTTGCCGTCTTTAATTGTTATATCTATCATGTCACCTGATTTGTGTTAAATTAGTTCCAAATTGTTTATGCAAGTTGGTACTTTTCGAATTTAAATTCTCTTTTCAAGGTGTTTTAGTAATTTAGTTTATGAATTTCGTATAATATGATAAATATATAATAAGGAACAGGTTTGGTTGAAAACTGTATTTTCATTGTGAACCAGAAAATCGATGAGAGCAACCCGTGTACACAACATTCATATGAATGTCGTAAAATATTCACGTCCATTGTTCATGACGAATATAGACACGCTCTTGATCGTTTCCTAGTTCGCAATGAAAACGAGTTTCTCAACCGAACGATACTCTTATGTAATGATATGAACAAAAAACCCATAATTTCCGTTGTTTCCCTATACAAACGTCGAATTGTTTACCCGTAAAAGCTACAAGAAATTAATGGTTGAGGCCTTGAAGATGTGGTGGAATATCTCATTTGTCTAGGGTTCGATTTCAAGCGTACACAACAGTTGTGGCCAGCAACACTAATTTATTGCAACCACAATTTACTAGAATTAGTCCAGACATAGCCTAAAAAGGCAGGCATAAGAAATAAAGATTATGGTGGTTTCTCTACTAGTAATGGTGAAGCTGGCCACCGGAAAGCTCAAATGGATCACAGAAACCACCACAGCACAAGGTGGGTCTGACGGTGGCGATGACAGCAATGATGCTTAAACTCGGATGCTAGTACCTCATGATACATAATTTACTATAAAAAAGGAAGTATTTCCTAATTTAGAAAGTTACAAAATCAAAGATTAGGGTTTCTGAAACATACAAAAACCCTGGAAACCAATATACAACTACCGTAGTTCTGATTAAATTCCTGAAAAATACAATTTTTCCAACTTATCTTCAATAGATTTTCTTGATACCGACAGTAGTAATATTTGTCACAATAAAATTACAAATGTTACCCCACAAAATCATGAATCAACTGACCTCCAAACCGCTGTCTAAGCTGATGTTCATGTTGCTGCAACTGTTGCACATGTTCTGCGTTCTGCCTGAGTCCTAACGTAAGCGAGACTGGTCCAACACCTGCCTCGAACGTGGTTCGCGGGTATGGTATGATGCTTGTAAACGATCGATCCATAGTGGCTGGTGGAATCTGATACTCAGGCCTCGAACGTTTCTCGTGATCCCATAGTTGTTCATTTGGTTCATTTTGACCGTTCATCATGGTTAACGTTCCAGAAGTTCTTGAACATTCGGGTTGTTGCTTGTTTGACAGTGAACTCATGTCCATCCGGCTCGTGTCTTGACCGTCGGTTGGAGTAGGATTGTTTGTGTTCGAGTCCGCCAACCCTTTCGTTTCAAGAGTGTGGATTTCTTCAACCATTGGCTTCCAAATGCGCACTCGGGCGTTTATGAACCAGTTTGAAACCTGATTCAATCACCATCAAAGTACATTACTTTGAGCAAATTTTTCGTATAACCAAAGACTTCAACATGTTCCATCATACTCTTAAAAGCGAAACAACCGGGATCATCGATACACAATCTTGTAATTAAAAACCGTACAAGAAAAATATTGCAATGCTTATGAGCGGAGTGAGTGGCGTAAAGCATCACAACATGGTTCTAACCTGATTTCGGGTTAATCCCGTTTGAGTGGCCAACATGTGCTTGTCCGCATCCGAAGGGTACCTAAATACAATCAAATAAAAGCATCATAAAAATACGATTTAAGCCGCCCATGCATAGACCTGAATGTCCATGCTTTATCTACTTGCACATTTGGAACCAGTTATGTGCAAGTCGACAATGCATCATATTTATATCAAACAAGCTCGATAAAATGCATGCAGTAATAAGCCAAGAGAAAGATAAAAGTGTGTTACGGGTGAAGAAAATGGTCAAAGAGCCAAGCTTTTAGAACCGAGACTGCACGTTCAGGAAGGCCACGCTGAGGCCGCCACACCGGTTGTTGGTTCCCAAAGAATCCACCAGATTTTCCTTGTCTTTGGTAGTTATGATCCATAGACTTCAACTGAGACAACGTATCAGTCGAATTAGCATCAAAATTCTTACTACTGCTCGCACCAACGGTCGGAGAACACAAGTCTTCGAACGTTTTCTTCATCTGGGTGAGTTGCTCAGAAATGGCACACTTGACACAGTGAAAATGGCGTGACACCGCCTTAAGAGCCAAAGAAACGTAAGGTGTTGCCGAACTAAGCCCTGCAACTGTTTCAAAAGACGAAATCACCATTTGCATCTGCTGATGATACTGCCGGTACCTTCTGCATACCTTTTCGAAACAAAACAACAAAGAACCATGAGAAACCGAAGCCATAGTTGCTGCATTGATAACAACTTCTTCGTTTGGCAGCTACGCCAATATGAGAAACCCCATTAGATTACTGTTCAAAAAACTCGCAATAGAAGAAGTTTCCAACATATATTTAGGAGAAATGGTCCGAGTCTAGCCGATTAGGGACTCCAGACAGCAGCTAACCAAAGTCTTGTCCTTTTTGTGGGCTCATTCTAACGAAAAGTTCCATGGTATATGAGAACATAGCATGTGAAGCTTCAATCATGGTGAGATTAAGGGCTTAAAAAGTGACGAAATAGTGGGGTAACTACAGTTCAGAGTGCGTTTAATTGGACTTTCTATCAACAAAATTCAAAATAATCTTGCTGGATTTTCACCCTCCAAGTTTTTGCTATTCAAAAAGTAATCTTATAAAATATAACAAATATTTATTTTTTTGATTAATCTAGATATCCAACCCGCTATGCGAGCCGACTAATCTCAGGGCGAGCACCTACTTTGCAGATAGCCCGGAGTCACCGCATTTGAACCTCTGTGGCTACAAGGGGATTTTTATTCCTCCTTGAATTTGAACCTGAGACCTCCTGGTACTTTTGACCTTTGGAGCCAAGCTCAAACCAATTAGACACACGTGTATTTTTTTTCCTTGTGTAGTTCATGCACACGTGTATTTTTTTTAAATGTAAAGATTTTGAAGTAATTTTTGTCACCCAATATTTCTTTGTACAACAAAAAACATCTACTTGATGACAATTATATACATTTTAAATGTGTTGATATGTCAAATGGTCCTTCTTGTTGTGTAGTACATGGTCGTTACTATGAACCGTTAAGAGGAAGACCGTATCCGTGATTTTTGCCCTTCCGAAACAAAAGGGGACAAGGAAGAAGAAAACAAACGAAAAAAGCTCTTTTCGTTCAAATTTTCAAAATTGAAGTAAGAAAGAATAGTATTTACAAGTGAAAAAAAGTCGGTAAGTAATCGCGGTACAAATGTTCGGTAGCAAACGTTGAAATGTTGTATAACCCACATTTCATATGGTACAATTATTTCATGCAACAGTCGAGTGGCCATTGAGTACCATTTACTTGCCCAATATCCTACATAAATGTTTACATAGATCAAAGAATTATTGAGGGTTTAAAAGACGTAGGGCTACGATACCAGTTTTCAGCAACAATCATGTCTTAAATTGACCAAAACCGACCGATATCTATGTCTGTCTATCTATCTATCTATATATAAGCACCAATTAGGTTTACCGCACAATCAACAAGCTAAAGCAAGAACTATTTGAATCACTAGTCATTTATTTGTAATCAAACTCGAAGTCAACTTTCGAAAAATCGGATGTGTTTTAATTTCATTGGTGGGACAGCGGATTTTTATGCCATTTGGTATATATGTCTATGAACTAAATGTTGCACGCATGGAAAATCATTAATCGCTAATCGCATACTCACAAGTTCATTATTAAGCACTAAACATTAGGATTAGGAAGAACAAAGATTAATAAGAGAATTAAGGAGTAATACCTCCTCCTGCATATATAGTAACTTGGCCTTCTTTTGATGAAACTCCGGCCGATATGATTCAGGAAGAGAGCTGCTCCGGCCAGTTATATGTTCATTTGAACCGTAAATGGTGGAAGATGAGGCACCGGAGGTACCCGACTCGCCGGAAACTCTACTCATTTCTTCATCAAGAATCTTGTGAGTGTTGTCACATGATTGAACTAACTCATGACCCCCAACATCACAATTATCATTCAATAATTCTTGTGCTGGCTTCAAGTACTTTGAATTCTTAAGAATTGTGGCATAACCTGTGAAAGGACCAAGTGGGCCAACATTCCGATGAGCAAAAGAAGACATCCCCATCAACTGTTTCGAGTCTGAATTCGCTAAAAGATCAGTCTTTAAAGCTGCTTTCGGACCCGAATGTATGTTTGGAAACTCGGTTTTCGGTTGAGGAACGGATGAAAGTGATAAAGACAAGCCCTGTGTGATGCAATTGTTCTCATTTGTAGCACCCATCATTGTTCCTTCTCTATGATCATTATTTCTATTTGCTATAAACCCTAATTGGTCGGAAGTATTCATCCAACAAGGAATCGACTGACTGATCTCCAAAAAATTCTTGCTTTGATGAACATGGGTTCCAACGGTGGCCGATGTAACAACCTCTTGGAGAGTGTTATGGTAATACGGTGTCGAACCGAACGCCGGAACTTCGCCGTAGTTTTTCTGATCACCCAAATGAATGTTTTGCAAATCTTGATTATACCCATAAGTCGGTTTCGAAGAAGCTCCACCCTGAACCACCATCGGAGAATTGGAGTTGCTTTGATCCATGCTCATGGAAGCAACATTCGAGTAACTAACAACATTCCAACTATCACTGTTAACTTGGAGTTGGCTTTGAGAAGAACTAACAACACTTTTCCAATTGCCGCCGTTTTGTGGGTTGTCGGCGATCACTTTACACGATACCGAGTGGGGAAAACTCGCCGGAGAAGAACCAGTAGCCGAATCTTGATCATGGGAAAGAAAAGCATGGCTGGGAGGTAACAAAAGGTGTGGATTACTAGCAATAGAATTAAGCATTTCAGATGGGAATACACTCGGATCGTATGATATGGATCCGTATCTGGCAGGTCGATGAAGTTCAAAATGAGGGTCTTGTGATAAATGTTGGTGGTTGGGGTCGTCGGAGTTGTGCTGAAATCTGAGCTTATGTCGCCGGCTTTTCTGGGCTACATGAGATTCCGTTCTCAGATTGTTCATCTCCATCAAATTTTTAAAAGATTTATTCAATTCTATCACCAAATTAACAACAGAAGTTTGACTTGATTGACAATGGGTCAAATTTCCTGCATGAAGCAGTTAAAAATCAAAGGCAAGTGACATAAAGAACGAAACTTTAAATCTTGAAATCTCAAAAAGATGTTGAAACCCATGTAAAGATTCATTCCATTCTCATTAATGGAGGTTTTGTAGACAACATATATTCATGAAGTGAGAGAGAGAGAGAAAGAGAGAGAGAGAGAGAGAGAGAGAGAGAGAGTTCATGGAATCACCTCAGGAATGACAGGAAGTAGAAGTTAAGCTGCCGGAGAAATTATGTAGAGCCACCGTTATCGGCGGAGAGATGGATAAGAAGGGTGGCCGAGAGGTAGAAGGAGAGAGAGAAAGAAAAGAGAAGGGTAGGACAATGATTGCAAAGGTGATAATTAAGTCCAGTTGGCTTTTTAGGCTTCTCGTGTCTCAAGACCTAGAGATTTAACGGCGTTAGGTTTAGACGGCGGGATATTGGATTGCCTGCGGCGGAGTTGACGGGAGTTGGGATGGTAGAAAATACCCTTAGTCGGCCAATAAATTACGAAAGTGGACATTCATCATCTGCCTTTTAGATGGGGCCACATAGATTTGACGTCCATTTATTGGATGTACCCGAATCTCCTCCCTCCATACATCTCTCTAGTCTCTCCCAAAAACCTTCTTAATGCTCAGAGAAAATAATTAAAAAAAAAAAATCTAAAAATATCCAAAAAGACTTCATTATTTAAAATGATTAAGTCTTTGAATAATTTTTTAGAACATTATAAACTTGGTTTAGAAACTACTTTTTTTTCTTACACTTTGATCCCTCTGTAAATTGTGCATCTATTAATTGCAAACCCATGATTATTTTTGTTATTTTGAGACAAAAATGATTAAGAGGTGAAACCATGTGATTAAATATGACTTTTTTATTAATGTTCCTTAATATTTATCATTTCTTCTCATACCATCTTCAACCCAGAACACTAAAAATATTAATAGCAGAATCAAAACTCAAAATCTCTATTGAAAATTTGATTTAATTCCAACAGATACTCTATTTTAAAAATTACAATAACCTCAGTATTTCTTATTGATGATAATATAATAAGAATTCTTTCTCTTTAATGGTAATCATTTTTCAGAGTTTTTCGGAGCATCTTCAATATCTTTTCTTCAATTTTCATAAAATAAAGAACCAAAACATAATTTTCTTAAAAAGAATTACATTTATCTCCGACGCATTCTCTATTTGAGATGTTAACATAAATTATATTATTATAATATTTGCTAATTTATCATTTCAATACTTTTTTTTTAAAATTTTTTTATTAAAAAATAATAACTCAGGGCCTGTTTACTTGTGGCTTAATGAGCTTACCGGATAAACGGGCTTATTCGCACAGCCATTTTAGGCTGTTTACTTCGAGCTTATTCGCCCAGATAGGGGCTTATTCGCACAGACCATTTTAGGCACTTGTCCACATTAAGTCAACAAAAAAGACATACCTACCCTTGTAAAACTCACGGTCTGGGCGATTTTGGTCCTCGACAGGTTTGCTCCTCCTCCAAAACCCTAATCGACGATTTTGGTCCTCGACGGTCTGGGCGATTTTGGTCCTCGACAGGTTGCTGCTCTTATGTATAGATTATGTTCGATTTTGCTGCTCGATTTGATTTTGTATGACGAGATTTTGCTGCTCGATTCTTAGGTTCTATTTGGTCTTAGGTTCGAGTTTTTGCTGCTCAATTTTTGTTGTTCGAGTTTTTGCTGTTCGAGTTTTTGCTGCTCGATTTTTTTGTATTCGGTCTCGATTTTATTGTTTGATGCTTAAACCAGAGGGTTAAACCAGTATATTGGGTTTGTTTAACATGGGTTGTATAACAGCAGCTTGCCTTGACTATTTAGCTGAAACAAGAACTACTGATTCCTCCAATGTGTTAAAACTTAACAACTCAGGGGTAAATTGGTCATTTCTGTTATTCAGACTGTTGATTCAGATAGAAAAGTAAACAGCAACCTAAATTTATCCAGACAGCCAAATTTATCCAGACAGACAAATTTATCCATACAGGACTTAATAGAAAATTTGGTAAACAGCCCCTCAATCTAATTAGTGAAATTGGATAAAATAATCATTTATTTCTCTTACCATTAGGGTTTTTTCTCCATATTCTCTATTTTAGAGAACAATATAGCAAAACTGTTTTATTATTTTACCGAAGAAAAACTGAATTTTTTAGAGAAGCTATTAAAAATGCTCATATTTTTAAGAAATTCACACACTCTCTTGTATTTTCTCCATTTTGAAGAAAGTTTTGGGGAGGATAATTGCCATTTGCACGTCTTTAATGGCAAAATCAAGTCAAATTTTATATTAGAAATGTAAAAAATGAGTTTTGATTTTGATGTGAATGGAGGAAATCATTAGATACTAGTTGTGTACCCGCGCAATGCGGCGGGAGCCATGAATTTAAACGATTTTGAAGTTTCACTGGTTTTATAAGATAAGATTTAACGATAATATAGGTTACACTTGGTCTTTACATATTAATACAATTT